CCATATCCCCAAATGAGAAAAGTTACAATTCGTAGTCTCTTAGATTTCACCTCAGCAAGGATGATTGGTTACGTGCTTGCTTCGCAACTCGCAGGTCCTTTGTTCTGCTCCACGTGACGTAGTGGACATATACTCCTCAGGAGTGGCGAATTATTACGACTATTACTACTATTAATTAATTCTGTTCCGAATAGAACGTAAGTTTTTGGTGGAACATTACCATTCCCCTCAGTTCACTGCATTGATGTTTAGCTGGCTTCATGACTGATCGCAAACTTTTATTGCTTCTTATACAATCTTCTCCGTGTCAAACTGGAATGCACATTTAACTTGTCACATTACATTCACGTTCAACTGCACAGAGCCGGAAAAATTAAACTTTTAAACAACTCCTCAAGCTGACTTTGTTTTCAGTATATTTGGTATATTTCTACTTACTATTTACAGAATACATCTAAAGTTGTGCACAGTCACGAATATTCTTAGGTTTCACTTTGAAATCAATAGAACATAAAACGTTTGAAGTGTCAGTTTGCAGCAGATCGACTGATTTCAAGTTTGATCACAGACTGACTTCAGTTAGAGAACCATTAGGAACTGATGAGCACTCGATAAACATTTCGTCCTTGTTTGAGACTCTTCATCAGTTCGCACAAATGACCTCGCCAGGGATTGAACCCAAGACGTTTAGGTTACACACGATGAGCCACTGGGATGAAATTCAGTGATCAGTGAATCCTAACTTCTAATGATCCGTGAAAAATGTATGACTGTTTGCCAATGTCTTTTAGTGAGTATCTTTCGTCACATCCACAGCTATTGACAACTTTCTACTTAATTGGAAATTAAACCTGGAATTAATCAAATCCCTGCGAACCAACACTTGAACTTTAATCTAATGCTTACCTAGTAACTGACTAAAGGAAGAAGTGGCTTCAAGTTTTAGTGAGAAGTCATGACCAGTGAGATCCATCATCAAGTTGGATGTGAGGACAGACACCCTGCAGTCGTTAGTCAGGCTATATGAGCCTTTGGATTTCGTCTCAGTGGCCCACCTTGTTATTTCATGTCACGTGGTAATCAAAGTTGAAAGCATACAAATTCGACACTGGTTGTTTACAAAGCAATAATGAAACTGAAAGCAAATTAACCGGCAGCAAAGTAGAATAATAAAAGGTTAATTCAGTGTCATATACACAATGTAAACTGTAGTCATTAATGCGGCAAACATATGAGGTTGTTTTTACTGATATCAAATATCAGTAGTATATTAGCCTAAATTTTTTGTGTGATAGAGTAAACGTAACTAACGAAAACGTACCGACCTCATAGATGATGATTGTACAAGAAAGGCAATCAGCCTTTACAATTATACTTCAAGTTTGCTAATGGAAATCAATAGACTCTAGGTTTCTTCCGACATATTTATGTGTTAAACACATAGACATGCATGCAAGCAAGCACCCACCCACACACAAACACTAACATCCATCAGTACTTAAGTGTATATAGCTTAGTTCTTTTATTGAATTAAAGTATTTAAAACTAGTTGTACAATAATGGATGACAAAATGATTCATTTATTTATTCTATAGCTGATGGTAAATACTTCAGAAAGGATGAAATTCATGAATAAATGAGTATGCTAATCATCATTACGCAGAACAACAGATGAATTACTTTGCTGACTGAAGATTGGAATGTTTATCAACCATTCCTAAAGTCTGGATTCTATTCTCAGCCTATGAACTCCTAAACCTTTACCTAGTCAGTCTGTAGTATGCTAGGAAGAGAAAGAAGACACAGTGTGAGACAAGCAACCTCAGTTCTCTCTTGCCTTGTTTGTGAAAAAAGAAGCTGCGTGTATAAATGCGATTGTACAGATAAGAGGAAAGGAAATCATTTACAAGTATTGGTTTCTGTAGGGATTTTGTTTGATTGGTTGCAGGATTTTATCATGAGCTGACATCATTTAGAGAACCATTGAAAAACCTACATGGAGTACTGGACAGCCGTTTCGTCCTAGTTTGGGACTCTTCACCAGTACGCGCCCATAGGGTCCTGGGTTCGACGCCAGGCGCGTAATGCTGAAGAGTGCCAAAATAGGAATGAAATCACCGAAAACTGTCTCTTCGTTCAACTACTTGTTTTATTTATTCATTAATCTTTGGATCGGGATTATTTACACGGATATATCAAGATTTGAGGGCTATAAATATGTATTATTATTAATACATGAATGGTACTCACTAACAGATGGAAAAAGAAAGGAGTAAGTAAAAAATGTGTCAATATAAGATGTATCTGAGTATGCATTGACTTAGGGAATATATCCTTTGAGTAAGCTATTCTGAATAATATCGAATCCATACACCTTGAATCTCTATGTTACATATTCTACCCGTCTAGTGTCAATCAAATCTAGTACTCATCCTTCATTGATTTTCAACATGCAAATACAAAAACAGAATCCTTCAGAGATTACACTTCGTGCACTTTTTTACTCTCTTCAAAATCAGCTCAGATGACGGTAGAACTGATTAGGAATTATTCATTATTATTATTCATTCATTCATTATTAATCATTCTTTAAGTTTCAAGTGGAACATGGGGCTGCATCGACACGTCTTCATTTCACTCAGTTATCTGCCTTGACTTTCACCTGCCTCTACAACCACCAACAAGCTTTCATGTGGTCGTCACAAGATTTTCCAACTCGTCGATTCCCACTGTGATTTGAAACAGCAGTCTGCCTAACATGTGGTGTCAATTTAGTGTCTCTTTCAGCCAATCTCCATTCCCTTTTTAATACTTATCGGGTAATAAGGTATTACAAGGTTTGCTGCCAGCCTAGTTGTTTCTTGTTCAGAAGGTAGGTGCTGGTGAAAGTCTGCAGCAGCTTTTGGTCACCCGTGTACCAAAACTGTGAAGTATACAAAAGCAGTGAATGATATGAAATTAGTGTTCAATGTTCGTGAGTACTATATATCTTCACGCTGATTTCAAAGGAATGAAGGCCTGACTTGCTTTCCTCACCCGACTCTGGTTGTGACAGCTTCATTCGTGTTACCGTCTGTAGCTGAGATGATGCTGCCCAGGTAAATGAAAGAGATGACTTCTCTTAGATTATTGCCTTGTCATGTTGATTGGTGCTTGTTGGTTAGGGGATCTTCATCGCGTCTATCTTCTTCATGCTCATCTGAAGTCTCTGCTGACTCTTCTACGAACTTTTTGGTTTTCGCCTAAACATCATCATCAAAATCATTGGCAAAGTCCACATCGTCTATAGTTTTTCCTTAGGTCCACCATGTTCCCATCCTCAAGATTTGAAAATTCAGTAGCGGTGATGTTGTTTTAAGGTCTTGAGTTATTAGACTGACACCCATCTTGGACCCTTTACTAGACTTACTGCGGGCTAATAAACTAGAGGAGGTTTAAGAGTAGATAGGCGGAGAATCTAACCTCGCCCTCCGTCTTGACTGGAGGGCATATAATTAAATCTTACAAGTTTTTTGTTAGGTAAAATTCTTATCGTATTCCTAAAATGAAAGAAGTTGGTGAGCCAAACTTCATCAATTCTAAGTGATTTCTTAAAAACGAATCATTGTTTCTTTGGTCTAACTATTTTACGCTGAATAAATGAAGGTTTCTGTCCAACACTTTTCAGATGTTCAATGTGTGCGATGAAAGTTACACTTCAAATGTTTTTTATAAATAAAAAAGTGTGTTTTCAGCACGATCTAAATACACGGCGTGTTATTTTTTATTTCTTGCGTCCCAAATATATATATATATATATATATATATATATATATAACTGGAAAAGTCAGAATTCATGGGATGGAAACTGGACTACATCACAGTAGATGAATGATGACTGGGATTCGGCATCTTAAGTGAGATACCCTGTAGAATCATGAGCGAATACTGATGAAGAATCCTAAAACAGGACGAAACCAGCTGTGAAGTACTTCTTGATTTTCATTGGTTCTCTAACGCATACATCAGTTCATGATCCAAGTCAGTAAAAGCGACCAATACTGATCGATAAAAATTATTAATCAAGACATGATAAAAGTTGTCAGAATTTAGGATAACTTTCATCATTCATGAAAGGCTCAAATAAGCTTATACGTCATAATAAAGCTTGCACTGAAGATATCTAGAAGAAGGGAATAAAAGCTCAGCAATTACAAACCACTTAGCTCAGAGAACATAACTACATCAAAGATGATGTCATGTTACTCTACATATCTATCATACGGTTGATAACGACCAGCAATGAAATACAGTGTTATGCATTTCATCCTGCCTGGGACTTATCATCTGTCCGCATTTTAAATTCCACTGTTAATCACCATTAGATTATCATGAAAGTAGTTGTGCTAAGACGGTCGACAGCTCAACAGACATCAAGTATTTCAGTCCTACATGAACAAAATCAATCAAGGGGGAATTACAAAATTAACTCTAAATATGAATACTTTCAAACTTATGGTTATATTTGATGAGTGATGAATAACAGTGTGTAGAATCCAGGATGCGTATTTCGCCGCATTTAGGACTGGTCATCTGAATGTAACTGAGACTCGAGCCCTGCACCCTTGATTTCAAACTTCACAGCTATATAATCAATTAACGGAATATGCAAAACCTAAATGAAGCCAATAATAATAATAATTGATACCCATTGCACATGAGGTAACCCTTCTGGCCCAAGTGGTCTATCGGATAACGATTCAGCGTTTGAAACAATAGATTCTGGATTCGACTCTCAGTATGAGCTCAGTCACTCTCTGGGAAAGCAAATATATCCCGCTAACGAGTCTCAAATGGGACAAAATGAGCGCTAGTCTCCATTCCCCAGAATAAAAACATGTTAAATCACGGACACACCATGAAGCATCCCTACTAGGAGGCAATACATGTCAAGAAAAATCAATATAATCGTTCAATGGGATAAAAAAATACAAAAAATTATAATAAACTTTCAAACTTACTTTACTTTCAGCTTTTATAGTTGGCATTATTTAAATTTCAAATAGACAATTTATTTCAACAACAGAGAATTGATTGAATTATAATTAGTATTAGTATTTTTTTTTATAACAAAAATAGGATAAACTGAATTGAACAATTTACAAAGAGGTGAAATAAATGTCCAATTTTTAAAAAGAAATAAAGTCCTTCTTTGTTTTAATTAAATATTTTCTGTAGATGTATATAAATTTGAATGCAATATATTTAGATATTGCCTTATGATAAAATGCAAAACGTAATAGTGTAACCACGATTCCAAATATTATATTTATATGTGTGTATATGTATTAATAACGAAAATAATATTTTGTAAAGGGAAAAATATAGTTGGTCACAAATAGAAGTAAAGCAAAGCAAGCAAAAAGATGTATAATTCGTTTTCACTATGTATCTATCTAACTGTAATTACTATGGTTACCACCAATCGTCCTACTGCTAATACCACTTGTAGAATAAATGTAGCGTTCGTGTATATATCTATGTACATACACTTATATGTATATTTATGTATACATAATGTAGGGCAGAATAATTTTACTCTCTCTGTTTGTCATCTTCTGCTGATATTCTCTCTCTCTTTTCTTTGCCTTCGTGTTTTACTGTTCTTCACGAGGATGTTGATAAAAATAATATTAATAATAATAATATTCAAAGTATAAACAGCACCACCACCCACTCATTCATCCGCCTACGCACTTAGCACTATATGTGTTCGCGCGTCCGTTCGTGTGTGTTTGTGTGCTTGGATGGTATTAAAAATAGGTGATACTGAATTGAATTGTCCAGACATTAGTTTACCGATGTACAATATCATGTGAATATACATTGGCTTCTTATTTCTAAATATGCACCATACATGCACACATGCACACACACACAAAGGTACACACAGTTAGACACATGCATCAGTGGGCAGTGTGTAGTAGTAGGCCATAAATTTCACTCTTTCTTTTCTATCTTCTTACTTTTCTCATAGTTAGTCACAGATACAGAATTAGAGAGAGAAAGAGAGAGTGATGGTTTCTACCACCATCTTTTTATACATACATTGGTGTACAAAAATAGTTTCTTCTAATCAATAAAAAAACAAATAAAAACACGTAGTAGCCTACAGCATGACTGCAGTGTGCTATTTTTGAAATATGCATCGATTATCGATTTCATTATCGGATCGATATGTAGGAATTTCTCTTTTTACGTTGTAGAAGGGTACCATACTGCCTATTAAATGATATTTTTGTCATGTCAACTTGAAGTATGGTGATGGATGGTTACTAGCAGTGGAATCCAGGAAGCGTCACTCTCTTGTCCCAAGTAGTCTATTGGATAACGCTATGGCGTTTGAAACTATAGGTAGTGGCTTTCAGCTTTTGTGAGAACACCATCATTTACTGGGGAATGCAAATACGACGATCATGGAGATGCAAGTCATCTATTAGACAGACTTAACTCTGTACAAAATCATATTAGCCTTACATCCGAGAAGAAAGTCGCAAGCAGCTTGTATTTTTAGACATACGTCTGAGTCGAAGAGATGATGGTTCAATAAGACGATCAATTTACAGAAAGCCCACTTGAACAGAGCAATACCTTAATTTTCACAGTTTCTGTCCATTAGAGTATAAGAGAGGGAGTTGGTGAAATGCTTATTTAAGAGGATTCAACGTGTTTGCACGGCTGATGTTATAGACAAATATTAATGGATACTCTTGTTGAAAACGGATATCCTTTATAATTTTTAAACAGGTGTTGAAGTCAACTAGTCTCTAAACCTACAGTCCATACGGCCCCTAAGAAAAAGGTGTTCATCAAATCACTATATAATGGGGAAATAAACAGTAGGATTTTGAGACAAAGGTTGAATTCGATCATCCCTAGAACCTAATATGCAGTCCAGCATGTAATTGTGGAAAGAGCTAAAAATATGCTTCACTGTAAACCTCAAAAGTGCAAAAGTGATTATGTCACATCGCACACAATTTACCAATTTTCGTGTGTGTGTGGACATACATACATAGGGAGGAGTAATCGCGCCTTGCACGTGAGGGTGAGAGAGCGTATCCCGAAATGGTTAGAAAAACAGATGAATTGTGACAAGCCAATTGATACAGGTGTCAGGCTACCAACTTCGTCTATAGCTAAACATCTAATCGAGATGAATCATAAGATTGATGTCAACTCAGCCTTTAAGGTCATCTATAAAAACGGTCAAGGGCGTTTACTGAAATACGCTGAGGCTATTGCTATTCATAAACTTAAGCCCCCCCCCTTGTATATTCAAAAACAGTTTGTTATTACTCTTAACCTACCTTGGTAATCCTTATTTGATTGGATTAACAAACGTTTGTGTTAATTATTCTTAATTCTTTTTTGTCACTTTGTTTAATTTAACTTTTCCATAGATATTGACTTGACAAGTAAATGTGTGATCAGATTGTTCGAAAGGTATAGCTCAAATACATCACACCGTTTTCCAGATAATCTCCATCTTCTAATAACCCTATCAAAATGCAAATACATCCAAATGACAAGTCCCAAATAGGACGAAATGTGCACCCCATATTCCACTGCCGATCACCATCCAACAATTTAATTCAGGTTAAATAATAGGACATCGTCGAAGCATCCTCAGAAGCAGCTGACATGTCAACCTGAGATCAAACACTTCGGTCCAATCAACAAACGGGAAAGTTCAAATCAAATTAAATACTGTCATACCAGTTTAATGTACCAAAGTGAGGGTATACTGTTGTTGAAATTTTACTTGTAAAATGTTGGCAATGAAGTAACTTTTAATAAAATTGTGTAATATTTTGTCAAGAGTTTTTAGGAAACTCTGAAGTGCACTAGATAGAGCATGTTGGTATGATCTGACTGCGGTGCTCTTTACTTGTTTACTGGTTGACAGAGTTTATGTTCCAGATAAACTGTGTTGAAATGTTGCTACTATAAGATGAACAGGATAAATTGGAGGATGACATTTCCTACTAATATGGTTAGTTTCATGTAAACCTTGTTCTTCTTTTTGATATAGATTCATTTTATGAAGACTGAATTAATTTCATCGGTTACTAAGACTCTTCGAGGTTATTAAAGGGAAGCACTAATTACTGGTCAGTTAGAGGTACAAAAATTTATAGAATATGAAAGTATAAACAAGTTATTCTAGTAGATATTAACTAGCAGTGTGGAATCCAATATATACATCTCTTCCTGTTTGTGACTTGTCAGCTGCATGCATCTGCAATCTTCAGTTAATTTAATTGTGTTCCCATCAAGACTGGAACCTATAACCCAACGCCAAGGCATTTTACACTAGACTATATGGGCATTAAGAGCCACTTTCTATGCAGCGGAAATCAGCTGTTTAATTTAATTAGGTATTTCCTGTTGATTGATCGTATTGGAACCAAATGTTCTTTCTCTGTTTGACTTGTCCGCTATCTCACAAATAGCATTATTTTAATGAACAATAACGACGAAAATAATAATAGTTTTATTCTGAAAAGTTCATTTAGACAAAATACAGAATTTTCAGCAAGTTTCACATGACGATATTTACTCTTTGCACAGAATCTTCAGATAACATAATAACCCATAATTTATTATCTGTGCGTCGGTGGCACAGTGGTTAGGACTCTCGCCGACCACGCATATGGTCCGGGGTTCGAGCACCCGCCGACGCACACCTGATATCTATGGTCGGCCTGTGAAATTTGGGCTACCAATATCCATGCTGAAAATTCCATACTTGTACCAAAAATACAGTGTGGAATCAATCTGTAAATCAAAAATTAAAAAAAAAAATAAAATAAAAAATTAAATGAAGCAATATTGTTCCTTCCGAAACATGTTTTAACAGTACTCCAGAATACCGCTTCTCCATTTCCTTCGAAAAACTCCTAGCTATAGGTAAAAACTTATTTGAAATTGTGCGCGATTACATATTGTGATTCATATGGTAATTAGATGATTAAAACAATATGAAACGCAGTGAATACAATGCATTTCGGTGAACAGAAAACTTAAGTATTCCAGTGATTTAAGCAGGTCGCCTGTCATGATCACCAGACAGGCTGAAACATCCGTACGAGGAGTTGATGCATAACCACAGCGACCATAAATCTTAGTTCAATGACATAAGCAACCAGTGGGAAATACAGAGTTACCTTAAACACATCAACAAGTGAACTGACATAATTGATCCATGTTTTACAGAGAAGTAACTGATTTCAATTTATAGCTGACGAACTAACATATTACTTATAGAAGGACTAAAAACTATCCTTAGTTTGAGACTATTCAACAGCACATACCTAGAACTTTAGGGTTGCGAAGCAGAAGTGTCAATATTTTCATCTCGTTTTGATCCCCGGCTGACTCACCCATAAGTCTCACTAAAGCAGTAGTAAGTTTGGTAAGTTGGGCAACAGGCTAGCAACCCCGACCCAGTATAAAAGAATAATACCACTGCTACTGAAACTTCAGAGATCAAGCTTGAAGGCCCTATGTTCCACTCGGAAAATGAAGGAATACAGTGGGATTATTCATAAGATATTCATTATAATAATTTTAACACAAATAAATTTTCCATCAGTTATTGCATCACCAGCTAAGTATCTGAAATATCCTCATCAAATCAACATATTTAGTGTTTCAATTTATATGAATATATTAATAAACTAATATTGATTTCTAATTCGGTACTAGATTTTCCCGTCTAGATGACGAGTCTCAAAACAGGACGAAGTACGAGTCCTGGATTCCACTGCTAGTCAACGTCCATCAGTTGACTTCACAACATTGATTTCTTTCGAAAAGTTAACTGTAGGCTAAGAAATATATTCCTTTTCGGTTAGTTTCTCACTAATGCCTCTATACTAAAATGTACACATAGTTTTGCATCAAAATCATACCAATCACTTGGTAATTATATAGTTAATGGGAGGTATGAGTTTTGAAAAACGCATGGACGCTCGCCGACCAT